TCCCTTAGCTAAGGTAAAAAAAACACCAGTATGGTGGGTTAACATAGTTCTCATAGACATTCATACTTCTGATGCTGGGGAGGTATGATACCATGTCAAAGAGCTAATGGACATCCGGCCTATCAGTTGACCGGAAATATAGAAACCCCCAAAATGGCAAAAAAATCATTTCACAAGTATTGATTTCTCTGAGGCAGGCCAGTCTTGTTGGTGTGCACTACTCGCTGGCCTGGTATGCCAACTAAATACTATATTAGCTTCCATACTAGTGGTTGAACTAAACTTTTGCGCACTGTGGCTAACTGTGAATCTTCATAAGTACTAGGATCGTTAATGCCGCATTTTGCTGTTCACCGTCATATTTAGCTTGAGATGTGTTTTTTTCACATGAATAATCCGGAAGTGTTTTAACGTGCCAATCGGACAACACACTAGCCCTCCTGTGCCAGCTATACGCAAACTTCTTCGCAAATCGGAGTTACCAACCGCATTGCATTCACTCCCCACCCGTACTACTAAATGGTACTGCAGTTCCTTTTTTTCTATATAAGCATGATTTCTCCCACCCGGGATATTTGATTTGGTCCATTCTTATGGTCAACTAGGCAAATTGGTCGACGGGATGCCCTGCCAACCACGAGGCAACTCTGTGACTGGGATATCCGAACGGTAGTGTAAATTCCAACCCATCCCGGTCATGAAGGGGAGAACATCAAATACGGGTCGTTTAGTAACCACAGAGGCCAAAACACACCAAAATTGCCGGTTTTCGAGGTATCATTATCCAACCACCTTGGGCGGAAACGACAAAGAAAAACACCATTATAAAAAATTGTGGAATTTTTCCTTCCATTCTCCCAGAGTAGTAAGGAGTGGAACGTCCTTTCCTCTATGGTGCCTGCCAGGACCAGGGTTTTTGAATGGGAAGGATACATTGCATCACACCTTACCCAGTTCATGTGCCCACAACTCTTTACAAACTCCAGACAAAGGCTTGAAATAAATACGTATCATACTTCAGATATCATATGCTAAAATTTTTGAAAGAAAAAAATTTGAAGTCGAAATTCAAGATATCTGGAAATAGAATTGCTCGAAAACCTACAATTTGGTGTGTTTTGGCCTCTGTCTCATTACTAGACGACCCCGTTGACATGCATCAGCGAGTGATATAGTATGAAGAGAACATATATTTGAAAGAATAATTACAGGAATTTCGATCTTGTAGGGGGAAAGCTATATAGCTATAGATCCCCTTTCCCGCGACCTCTGGGAGAAGGTGTAGGCTCTCACGGCTTGCCAGAAGTCGGCGCGCTCCAGGCATCTGATTGCCATAGCTTGCGTATCAAGAGTGCTCTCGGTCCAGATAAATTGGGACATTATGATTGGGAGGTCTTTGTGCTTTTCACAGCTAGGGAGGTTGTAGCCCAGAAGGCTCCAGTTTAACTCAGCCTGTTAGACCCAGCGGCGGTTTTTTCGGGGGTGCGCAGCGCTAACTGCTTTCTTTCTTTCTCTTTTTCTCAGAGAGTAGGTTTCGTGGTGTGCTTTTCGCCCCTCCTAGGGGAGGAAATTTTGGACTGCATGGCACATAAGTTAGTGGGCTTAATTGAGCTCTTGCGGTACGTGCACCACTGCAGCCAGAAGATTCGAAGTTTCCCCACTGCACTGCACGATCACATTCTCGCATTTTTCCACCGTTAAGTGAACTGTTGGCTAAATGCGGAGGTACAGTACACTACGGTGAGGGAAAACAGAATGGGCACAGGACTGATATGTTTTTCGTTTTTCAAAATTACCCCTCACGGCAAACTTGATGATAATAAAAAAATCACCATCCGATTGGGGGGGTTTACTGGGATGGTGTAGTAGTTTTCCGATATGTGGGTGGGTTGGTCGGTAAATAAAGGGGATTGAAGAGAAGGCTGTTTTTCCGCTTTTAGACATTAAACAATGCAATCTCGCCCACATAGGGTTGGTGATTTCAGGGGTAGCGAAGTATTTATACTCGTAGTTCTCTAATGTTTGTTAAACCGAAAACTGATATAACCCCCCCCCCAAAAAAAAAGGGGGGGGGAACAGAAGAGAGGAATGGAATAGAATTTTAATAAAATGTCAGTAACATGTGTGGGGATGGTGATCAAACAAGCACCACCCACTAGGAGGTATCTACTAGACACCTGAAATCCCTACCTTAGTTACTATGCTAACTAGGAGTATTACAGAGGCCCTTTTCAGATCTCACGCACCCCCCTACCTTAAGCATTGCCTGGTTTTGTCTTGGCGAAAAACCGTATCCCATCAGCTATCGGGAGATTCAGTCTAGACTAAAATGTTGAACACTAGCCTATTTTGGCAGTCGCGACCTCGTCGCTCACAAGATGTGAAGTGCTCAGAATACCGCAGAATGTATACAGCTCAGAATGAGCGTGATGAAAACGAGATATTCCGCGTAGATTTACTCCCGGTTACCAAAATAGGCTAGTGTTTAACATTTTGAACCAGCCCGAATGTCTCCATAGCTTATACTCGTAGTATGGGATAAACCGAAGGAAATATGGTAGTCTAGCTCTCCGTATTGAGAAATGGAACTAATGTGCCCAGGATTGCGCTTTACTCGTAGGTTTACTCAAGTAGTTGAGAAACAAGTTAGGGGGAAGGTTCCTCGCTTACTAAGCTCCTAAAATCTGAACCCGGGGAGGCAGCTCAGACTTTAGAGTTTGGATGCTAATTATCTAGACTTTGGCACCACCGCTTCAGAATTCCTTCCAGATCTCCACGGGGGACCCCCAGTTGCTATAGAAATCCTCCAGGCAAAATCCCTAAATGGTAGATAAATAGGAATAACCACCATCATGGCGGAAAATAGATTAGCTATTGACCTCCCCCCACGCCCCCGCTAAGGACTCCCGTAAAATATCAGAGGCATTCTTGGAGAAGTTCCATGAGTACAGTACACCACATAATCGCGGGCAAGAATCAAACTCTCATCCGCTAAACCTAACCTAACCTAACCAAGGAATCTCCATGGGAGCCTATGGAACATCTCCACTCTAGTTTTTGTATTATACGAAGGCTCTGATTTCTCTGCTATACAAATAGATTCCTTTGATATCGGCCACCCATTGCACCTCTTGCACCCTAGTCATCGCCCAGGGCCCCAAAAAGCCTTGTCCGTACCTTCTGATAAGATCTTGCTGCCGGCAAAAGTGTTTAGTCGCAGAGCTAGAGAGGTTTGGGCAGATAGGATACTTTACTACCTCGTACTGTGCTCTACCGTGCTGCACCATCCATACTCCGTCCCACCCCCCTCCACAAGTATCGCTTTGAATAATGGACCTTCCCTTGGTTACCCTCATTTCATATTGTACACTCTATATGGCAGGGGTCGAATAGAGCGGGTACAAGTGAGCGGCGATGACTTTCAGCGCTTCCTCGATAGACGGCCGTTGGCCGGCTCCTGGGTTAATCTGTAATATCTGTTGTTGGCTTCCCCGGCGCCCGGGTGAGGCAGGTTAAGGTCGGCCGTGTACGGGATTTTGACTGTTTCCTCTATGCATTTTCCCGGTTTGTGTGAATAATGGATATATTCCCAAAGTGTCAGCGTGCTTTCGCGAAGACACCTAGTGCCACATTGAATGTTGTGGGGTAGGCGGTGGTGCTACGTTCTCCGCTTTTGTTATCTATAAAATTGAGCTTGTTGGCATATCTATAAACGGCTGACGTATGTACAGTACATGATTGCGAAGGCGTACTGGTCTTCCAAGTCACTAAGTTACCAATGCAAGTGAAAAACGAGAGCAAACAAACCATTACCGCTAAGAAAAAGGTAACTCAATGAGGTGTGTATCCAGAGAAGATCCCTGTTTAATCGCGTTTTTCACTTACGGTGCTCCCGCAGCTAAACCGTACATGCATCGCATTACCAGACGTTCACGTCTAAATTTAGTGTGGGCACCGATATGTGCACACAATTTGCCATTACGAAATTCCGACCCCCCCCACCTTCAGGCACTCCATGCCGGTCAGGGGAAAAAAACGTGGTGATAATATTATGTTGCTTGTGGACCCGCCACGTGCTCCATCTTCATTCATATGTCATGTTCATAGATCGGGGTGTTGTTGACAGGGGCACGATCGGGTATGCCCTGCCTGAGCAGGGGTTCGAACTACTTCCACCCTAGCCGTGCTACTGGAACCCAAGAGATTGGGCCCCTCTGTTCTAGGCCAAAAGCTCTTCAGAAAGCCTATCATAACATCGTATGGAACCAAAAAGGAATTGGAAAATCGCTTTACGTTAACTTATCTCCTGAAGCCTCATTCAGATCCTCTATTCCCCTATTTTCAATCCCTCATCCTCTTGTCTGAGGAGTTCAAACCTCGCCAAGCAGGATGCTACTCAACCTGTTGAGTTATTAAGTATCATACCATCTATGCCTAATCTCTTTACTTAAGGAGCGAGGACTGGGCCGAATATTTGAGAAAGATTTTTAATTCAGTACCTGCAAGGGTAAAACCCAGTGTAAGCCGCAACCTTACCATCCCCCCCCCCACCAGTATGGTGCTGTGTGATTGAGTTTTCCTCGCTTGTATTAAGCAGCTAGGTTATTTCACATACCGTAAGAGTTCCCGTGGTTCTCCATATCCGGAGTGCCTCCGATCTCTAAATTCAGGGAGAGGAGCTCTTCGGAGGGATCGGTGGTTCCCCGACGTCACATATCCTGAGCCCTTTGAAAGCGCTGGATCCCATTAACCGATTTTCACAATTCAATTAACTTGCGAAACTAAACCTATCATAGGCTGATGCATCGATTTCCACTTATAGCCTGTAATTGAATGGTAGGAGTTTTTACGACGTTGCGATGTGTGTGGCACGGCGAAAATAGTAATCTGGGGCGAAATGGAGGCGGTGAAACAGAATGGCAAATGCTTCAAAAGCCTACATCAAAGACCGTGATAAATAATCGCCTCACGAAAAGATATGTGTACATGTACATGTACATGGAAATCAAAAACTGAAAACGATGTCAAAGAAACAAAATAAAGAAAGAACTGCGCTTGGCAAACATCCAAATTCTTATCCCGTCCCATAATATCTTTTCTCAAACCTTCCCTGCCCCGATAAAATCACTGACAGGCCATCTGGGGTCCTACGGGGCCTCAACAAGGGGTGCTGGCTGGGCCATACTTGGGGTTGGATAGGACCTAGCCTTTGGGTCCGGATTGTGCACCACCCCGTTCCCGCCCGACAGTTGAAATTTCCATTTCCAGACCATGAAGAGGAAAACGCCTAGAGCGACGGTTCCCGCAATTACACCAACAGCTATGCCGGCAGTCGCTCCCTTCGATAAACTCTCATCGGGAAATGGGGGGGGTGGGGTCGGGGTGCCAGAGGCGGAGCTCGTGGACGGCCCTGCTGGGTGAGGATTCGAGGCACTCGTGGGCAACGCCGTCAAATTGGACTTGCAAGTATTTCTATACCAAGCATCGTACAAGCCCACCTCTCCGGAACCGCATGTAGTTGTCGCAGAGTTGCAGTCAGGCCTAGGCTGGGAGCATACACAGTTGTGGGTCTGTTCCATGCAAACATTCTCCTTGTCAAAGCAACTGCGCGCGCAGCTGGGAATTTCGGAGAGGTTGACTGGTGGCCTTCCCGGGCACTGCGTATCGTACCAGTCTTCGGTACGGTTCCAACAATCCCAGTTCACTCTAGCATGCGCGAGCAAAGAGGGGAAGGAATCGAAAGTAAGCGGGGAAATCGTGGAGATCGTAGAAGGGTAGCTGCAAAAACTTACGTCCACGCACATATCAGAGGATTTGGTCTTCTGCAGAAGCAGTCTACCGTTATCCCTTGTCCACAGTCTAGCAGCGAGCTCAATAGCCTATTCAAGTTTCTCAGTTTATCGGGTCCAAGCTTGAAGGCCCGAGAGGGTAGGCCGAAGAGGAGTAGAATGAAGAGGAGTAGAACGAAAAGGAGGAGAAGGAGAAGCATACGGAGAACAAACCGTCCACGAGCACTGGGGCATTGAGGTGAAATTAACGTTTGCATCTCTCCGTTGGAATCTGCCCCCCGCACCCGAACTCAATGGCGATATCAGCGCAATGAAGCATAGAATGCCCGTAGCCAATCTAAACTGAGGATCGATCATCTCGAAGGGTTAGCCGTAGGATATGGTATGATGGAATCTGGCGTAAAAGGAGATCTGTCGAGAAGGCTCAATCAAGAAGATGGGGTTGCAAGAGTTACACTTCAGCCCCGGTGTTGGAAAACTATCATGCGGGTTTCCGAGCAGGTAGACTTTGGTGTGTGTAACGCCTTCTTGTATAAGAAAGTGACAGATCATCCGAAAACTTGGCACTCGACAGAAGGGCATTTCCAACCATGTGGCTGAACTCCTCTAACGGAAGTTTTGCGGTTTTCTCCAATCCGGCTAACCAACTGGTGTTATGAACAGGATTGCGTTGGGGATGATGGATTGGGCGAACTGGTTATCGAAATTCCCAGATTTTTACTAACTTACTCGTTATTGTTTACGATCTACCGGTACGTTGTAACAGAACTTTGTTCTTGTCTTGTATGGTCACTCTGCAAAAATCTTGGTGAATTAGAGTCTCCCTTTGAGGGAGGTTGCCGTGGCCCCACGGCGGGGTATTGCACAATCGGGGTCTGTGAGGGCCGAAATTCCACCCCTGGAAGCTTTTTGTCATCAAAGACATCTACGGTACTTGAGTTCGGTGTCTCATAAGCTGTCAAGACATTTCGGTGGCTGCTAAAATCTAGAACACTAGCCCATTTTGGTAGTCGTGATAGGAAAAACCCTCCTGTTCGCAAGAGGTGAAGAGCTCGGAATATCGCAGGATGTATATATCTCAGCATGGCCGTGATCGAAACAAGAAGCTCCGCGTAGATTTACTCCCAATTACCAAAATCGGTTAGTGGTACAGATTTTAAACTCGACTGGAATGTCTGACAGGTCACGGGACACGGTAATATCACTTTTAGCAATCGGTACGAAGGGTGCCTCAAAGACAGCTGTCCAGGAATGGTCGACGACTGATACGGTACATCTCCATTCCCAATAAAGTTACCGCGCCAGAGATAACACGCGCGGAGGCGCCCGGCGGGCAAACAAATGGGAGGGCTACGTTGAGAGTCTTGGAGAGGCACCGCAGCAAGAGGAAAGGAAGATGTGATACCACCTCATCCATCTCACGCCCTTAACTTTCATAAAAAAAGTAGCGATGGTAGTGCCAGTATGCAGTCGCCCATAAGTTACCCGTGATTCCCGACGAGACACTCACTCCGATGTAACTTAAGCACATGTGCTCAGTATCGTAGCAACCACCTTCGTTAAAACTGTGCCCAAAAAACTTCCGGAGATCTCCGGGTGCCACGAAAATACTCATAGAGTGAGCGGATAGTCGCAATTGAAAATAAGGGAGATAATCACCATCATGACGAAAAAGAGCTTGGCCATCGACCCATCTCTACTTTTTTGGATATTTTAGATACTGCTGATACTGGCAGGAGCTATAGATTACACTAGCTCTAAATGTAAGCTGTGTTGCGCGTGAGTTGCATGATACACTCCATGCTCTCTTCAGCCTGCAAACATAGAGAACTGACAAAAAAAAACAAAAATTCATAGTAATATGTGGAGTCATTATGGTGTTTGGAAGTAACTTACCGGTAGATTACTCCACCCCCACTATAGCGCATGTACAGTACAGTACTGTACTGTATTGTATACCCTACTATCGGATTTTTAATTTTTGTTATTTGCCACTACTACAGAAGTCATTAAATCAAATTTTCAGCTTGCTATTGCGCTGACTATCCCACCACCCGCCGTTATAGCATCGCTCAGAATACGGTAGGTTTCCTTCGCTAAACACCTGCGGGAGTATTTAGCACAAGGATAGGGCAGTGATAGTGTGTGCAAGGGCACATCACCCCCCCCCCCCCCAAGATGATGGCCTCTCAATTCCTGGTACGGTAGGGGACACTTGTGTCTCAACGAACTCTAGCATGGAATATTCCAGAGTTTGAGTAACCAACCAAATGCATAGATTAGATGAAGGTTGAGGAATGCATATAACTATGTCATAAAATGTAGGTACAGTATGGTAGGCTGTAAGGGTGATATTAGCTCCACGGTATGTCAGGGCTTTTTTTCCCCACGGATTTCACATGAGGTTTGTGCTTTTTCTCAGACTTTAGCGAAAACAATCACGATGCCACCATTGATTGAAGAAATTCCCTTAGACATTCATCTTCCTGGGGCATGGAAGTATCATGTCCCCGGAATAGACCTATCCGGCTTATAATTTGACAGAAAATATTAAGGGTGCTCCCGGTGCACCGGGTTTGCAAATTCGGTCAATTTCGGGTGGTATCAAAACTTACAAAAACGACAAAATGCCATCAAAAATACGTGCCAGCGAAAAGGTGGTTTTCAAGTATTCGATTCGTTTTCGAGGCCGGTTTTGATGCTATGCACTACCGGCTAGCTTTGCGTGCTAACCAAATATGATACCAGCCTGCCCCCTAGCCGACGGACTACCGGTAAACCCGTGCACGCCGTGACTGACTGTAAATCTTCAATCACCTGGGTAAGTACAGTATTGGACTTGTTCGTGAATAGTGGGGACACGACCGTTGATTACTATATTTTTCTAAATCAGCAGGTCCCACCCGGAAGGGAGGACAGAAGATCCAGGGAAAGAACAAAGCCCACTGAAAACCGGAACAAACCTTATACCACCCATAACAAACCTCGCAACTTTCGTCTGACTATATAATTCCCCCAGCGCAGTAAAACAGCTACCTCCAGCGCTAGTTTCGAAAAAGAGTCTAGAGAAACCGCGCTCTCCGGCACTCGGCAATCGTTCTCCCCCTGTCAGTGGCGATACCCTGGCTGCACTTTGCATTTCCCGTCTCCACAACCCCGCGAATCCTCCAACTATAGTACCTCCAATTTTGGTGTCGGGGAGTTCGCTGTGGAAGCGGATCTCCAGATGTCCACGGGTATCGGCGTCTATTAAGGTTTGCCCCACGGCAAAGGTGAAGGTGGGGGTGCGAGAGTGGTATTGCGGTTGTAGAGAGTGACCAGTGCCCGGTGTATGTATTGTATGTAATTAATGGACAAGCTAGAGAATCGAAATCGGACGACCCTTCCGATCACAAATACCAATAAGAAAACGCGTTAAGCACCAGCCCATCGGAATAATAATGGCAAGGCAGCATTCCCCATCACAAGAGACAGCAAGGCCAACACACTGAGTCTCGTGAAATATCCACCCCCTCGAAATCGGAACGAACCTTCACGGTATTGTGCTCGGCACAGTACAGTACACGATTACTTACCATCAGCTTATACCCGCGCCGATTACTTATACCCGGCACTCCCGACTTAATCATTGGTGCTAGGTACATTACTGCAAAGTCTTCGATAAATCCACAACAAATCGCCTCCTCTAAACCCCGAGGGGAATCCATAGGGAGTTTTACATTATGGGTTCTCCAATTTTCATCGACAGACCGAAATACCACACCATGTAGAGACAGACGCTACTGTAGCCCGCTTCGTTGTTGCACAAAGCCCATTGGAAAAGGAGGTCCTAGCGAGGATTCCGACGCTCCCCTCCTCTCCTCGAGTAGTCGGACTCTCAAGTTCCTAGAACTCCTGCGGATGATGTTTAACCACTGCATGAAACTTTCTGTTAAACCCCGTCGGGGAGGATCTGCAGAGCCCATCTCGTTCCTTGCTGCTAGATAGCGTGTATTAGAAATTGGTGCCTCGTAGGGAAAACTAGGCACAGGCTCCTTTTGTTGCTGGACTCGTATCTGTGGTTGAGCGGTTGGTAAGTGCCTGACTGTATGTGCAGCACAGCACACCGATGTCCCCGAACTTTGAGATATTTGGCGTAGCACCACACCAGTCGAGAGGTTCAAAGTTCCCAACAACGTACGGTGCCTTATCATATCGTGCTGTCCTACTATCCCAACCGCCAAATCAACCCAATCGCCGGGCAGAAGGCGATGGAAGAAAACTAAAAGGATCACGGGGCTTTTATGTTCTTCGCTCTTCAAAACCCCCCATGGCAGACTTAGCAAAGATGAGAGGTGCTCGCCAATTCATATAGCATCCGGATATAGAGAATTGGCTTGGTGCCTGTCATACCGTACGTTCGCGGCTTGTTCCATACCGTGGGATATTGGGGTGGCAGCAATTTGTGTTGGCTATACCGGGTATTGGTTCCTGCTTGGCGCCAAGTCGTTTTCTCTATCCGGATACTTCATGAATTGGCGAGTTCTGCATCTCCTGAGAACGAGCGGAATAGTGAATGAAACAGAACTCTTTTATCACGTCTGATCTTGCTCTCCTCAGTCTTTTTCAGCATGCTCTAGTACTGTATATCGGGCCCCTTGTTTCATTCAATCCAACCACTTTCATCTTTAATTTTGTTTGATAGAAATACCTGATTCAAAAAAAAAAAATGTCATCTTGATTATTCTCAGAATTATCTCCATCTCCCACGTTTTTCTTCTTCTCCGGAATTGGTGGTTGCCATCGACTGATTAGGAATTGGGTTTTGCTGGCTCGGAGGTCCCGGCTTGGTTGCGTTTGAAATGTCCCCTAAAACAGGCGGTCCGTAAACCAAGATGATTTTGACTGTTCTAAGGCTCATTTTATGCTCTGTTAGGCGTTAAAGTACGCAACCTCACTACTACCGGTACTAGTACTGGTGGGGTGGTTAAGGCTGTTGGGACGAACGATACTTTCATTGTACGTGTACAGTACGAGTATAGTACTCGAGTAGAATTTTGCTGCGCCTCTAGAATTAAAGGTAGCACGAAGGTTTGGTGTGACTACCCGACGCCTCCTCGTCTTCTTGCACTCCGTTGGCACCATGAGCCGCACGGTCCGCACCTCTCCCTTTTTCGTCTCGCCTGGTGCAAATTCCATAAAACCCCCAATATCGCTCGCTACATAGCCGTAGCCATGTCTACAATCGACCAATACTTGGGGCAGACCAGCATGGAGAACACATCATACGGTATCCGCACACGATTAATACCACTAATGTCAACTGCAATAACGTAACGAATAGTCATAACCATATCGGCAATATCAATAACATCGCCAACGTGAACAAAGTCATAGCCGATGAGGACCCGGAAATTATGCAGTGGCTCTCGCCACTAGACTCCAGGGGGAGTCACCAGGATGTGCGTACTGATAGGCTCG